CTTCGTCCGGCGTAATAGTTCATATTTTTATGATCCATACACTTTGAAGATGCTTTATATTACTCTAGTAAGATACAGGTTGGAGTATGCGTCATTTTTTTTGGAGGCCATAGCGCAATTCTCATATCACGCGATTAGAACGGATACAGAAAAAATTTATAAAATTTGCTTTACGCTCACTGAATTTTAGTGAACCCATTCCCTCATATGAATCACGTTGTGCACTTCTAAATTTACAAACTCTACGTAACAGATCTGCTTATCTTGCTTGCTCATATGTTGCCAACCTCTTGAATGGATCGGTTGATTGCCCTAACCTCTTGGAAAGAATAGCTTTCAATGTTCCTACACGTAATTTACGCAGTGTTTTTTCTTTCTACATCGTATTTTCTAAAACCAACTATGCAATGTATGCTCCCTTGATTAGAACCTTAGTGGAGCAAAACAATATTCCAACTTTTGACCCGTCTCTATCTTGTGGAGCAGTTCGTACTTTATTATACAACTATTTTAACCAGTTCTTCTGAATTATAACTATTTTAGTACTTACAATTGATAATTTGTTCCTCGAAAACTATAATTAATCTTGATATATAAAATAAAAATAATCACGCTCCGAATGAAACTTACCGGCCAATTGCAAACTCAAATGAAAAATCTGTCAAAAGAAGGTCTCTAACAAAAGCTGAATGGTGGACAGCTGACTTCCGGTAGTGCTTTTAGTCCCAAACCCTTTCCGGGTGCTGCATGTTTACGAAGTAGCGAGTGACAAAATGTCAAAACACTTTCCAATTGGAACTATCCCAATAAAAATAAATCAAAAATATTTACAAATATTTTGAAGGGTTTTACAAATGTCCGAAGTGTTTCGCACAGTAACAAGAAAAAAATGGATCGCGCGCAGATCAATGAACCCCAGATTACGAAAACTGTCTGAACGTGCCAATGAAAAGGACGATAAGGAAGTGGACGTGGAGGCCCTTGTAAAGTAAGCAAAGTATCTGAAATCTTGTTAATTATTAAAAAAAAAAAGCTTCCTTTTTCTCCCATCATAGACGCCTAGAACAGTTATGCACACAAATGGTTTGCAGTGATTACTTTATGCAAGCTATGGAAACAGTGGATGACAGTTTAAAAGCGCTGGCGGGTAAAGAGAAATTTTCCCGTATAGTCTGTTTTGGCATTGGCCCCTTTTCACGCAATTTCCAAGCACTACATCAGCTGGCATTCATAATATGCGCACAACGACACTACTGCATCGGGGAGGCTATATACTTCGATCCTGTCTTCCGCGAGTGTGAGAAGCAAATTCTGAAACATCTGAACTGTGCCCTGATGACAGAAAATTGTGAAGCTAAATATGCTGTAGATGAACTCACTCTCTTTTACCTGCCTCACTGTCCAAACTGCTTGACAAACAATTTGCTGTGGAGGAACTGGCGTCCGCGCAATTTAAAACACGTAGTGCTCATAAATAACAGTTTCGAGAGTTTATCACTTAGCAAACCCGAGCGCTTGCTAAGATTAGACTCTGGTTTTATTTTAGAAGTGCTGCCCTACGTAAAAGAATTTCAATTGGAGGATGATTATGAGACACATAATGTTTTTAATGACTTGTCTGTGCATGTATTTCCTGCGAACTCGCTCCCACCGGCTAATGCCGAATTTTGGGCGCAAAAAGATCCACCAACGTATACCGATGTTGAAATGATTTCTGCAGAGGAATTCGGCAAACTAAGTATATCATAGCTAAGTAGAAAACTTAATAATTAGTTCTATACGTTTTTTAAGTGTAAAATCATTTTAGTTTTAATACATGTATTTCAGACAAAAGGTGTTTCATTTGAAAACTAAATGTTATTAACTAAAATTCATTGATGAATTTCTCCAACTCGTTGTCCTTAGCAGCTTCCTGCTTTTCAAGCTTTTTGCGTCGCTTTACTTTTGTTGCTTTAACTAGCCTTCTTTGAGATTTTTTCAATCGAAGGAGATCGTCCTTCTTTTTCTTTTTCACTGCTAATCTTCTTCGAATATATTCTTCATCACTTGTTGGCATTCTAAATGTGTTAGGTTGCCTTCGATAACTATTTTGGTGAGAATATCGCGGTTTGAATGCACATGGCATAATTTTGAAGCGCTCATGCACAACGGTGCATAATGAATCGCTAATAGGCAGATGCCGTACATCCGTCATAAACGCTAAATCGGATGGCTCGACTTTGAGTAGTGTATGCAAGAAAACGGTATTTGGTGTTATTTCTTTCGAAGGTGCCGACAACAGCAGCCTTTCAGGATACTTTGGGTTGTATCGTAAGAAGTATTGGCCTATTGGCATATTCACCAACAACTGTAGGGTGTCTGTTAGCCCTGCAATAAGATGCGGCATTTTTAATTGATACCCCTCGGAAAGTTGCAGTTCAATACTGGCCAGCATTAAACTATGCTCTAACTGCAAGCTTAAGTTCTTCACCGCCACCCGAAAACATAGAGCCCGATCAGTAAATCCACTACACTGGCCCAACAGCTTTATTCGCAGCCATTCTTTAATGAGTTCATATTGTGTCAATTGTTCAGCTCCAAATTGTGGTTTATATTCTAATTTTACTGAATAACTGCTTAGCAATTGTGCACCGGATATATCCATTGCAGGGGCCAATTTTAGACTTGTTAAAAGCTGCAGGTTAATATTGTTCTCGTCCTGATCCTTTCCATTCAGATTCCACTCGACAAGAGCAAAATTATTTTTAGTTCTTTTTTCACGACTTTTACATTTTTTTTCTAAGTATTCACCAAATTCGTAAGCATGAAATTCTCTTTTAGGATCAATCGCCGCTTGAATTTCGGGTGGGTCGACGGCTTTTTTCTGTTGTATAATATCATTGTCTATATACAACCACTGCGATCCTTCACTAGTGCTCACCAAAGCTTCAAAGGCATTTTCCACTATCAATTTATGTGTGTACCAACCGCAGATCCGTGGTGGCAATGGTTCTTTGAACTTAATAATTTTTAAATTGTCAATGCCCTTCTCAATTTGTAAATGAACCTCAGTTGGCAGGTCAGGTGAGTTACCAGCCGTTAACAAAAACACCAGTGACTCTAATGGTATATGAAATTGGTGCGCCAATTGCTGGGATTTGCGATTAGTTTCCCACATCGCATCACTTACTGTGGTAATACTATTTATATAGTAATCCATGCATCTTTCCAACTGTAAATTGAGTCGCTGGAAATCGTTAGCACATTCGTGCTTTACTGGAACCCAACCTTTTCGTCTTAACAATCCTACATTTTCTATTTGCATACTTTTACGTTGACCAGACTTATTGAATCGGGGATGTGGGATACCAGCGTGGGTGTTCAGTGGCAAGTTCTCTGGATATTCTAAAAGTAATTGGTTTAACTTTGCGGCGTAAAAACGTTTGTAAAGTGTAACAAATCGGTCGGTTGGCGCGTAAATCGCTTCTTTTTGCGTACGAGAGTATTCTATCAAAATTTTGTCAAAAGCTTCCTTTTCAGATGCCCTCTCCCGCTCTAGCGACCGCCAACGGAAAACATCTCGGTCATCTACTTCACTGAATTCTTGCCATGCTTTTATAACTCGTAAGCATGCTAGATGATCTAATCTTTTTATAATCGAAGTCTGCAGACTTCGAAAAATTTCTATGCTTTGCCATTCGTCTATCGTGTGATCGTAAAAAATTTGCTTCACCTCAGTCTTAGTTCGGGGATCCAATAACACCCGATAATCGGGGCATTGATTAAGGTGCTCAGACTGCATAAACACCGGATGAACTTCATTTAAATGATGGTACAACGCGTCGCCGGGCTCATCAAATGATTTGTTGAAATGTGTGTATGGTGGCTGATTGTAAAAAAAACTACCACGTGCGAATTTATTCCCATCTTTGTTCATGGATGCAAAGAACACGAGCCAGCCTCTAATTGAAATTTTTAAAACATTAAAACTAATGCTAAACAAATGGAATTTACCATGGGAATTCACTTTCAGCGAAGAGTTTTGTTTACAAATTACAAATGCTAAAATGTCACTTAACAGCTGTTCAAATTGGCAGCAGCCTGCAGTGATGGAAAAGTTGGTAAAAATGTGCCCATACGTAACAAACAATCATGTATTACATTATAGATTCGAAAACTGAAAACTAAAATCACTTGAAAATTTAAATAAGGTTTATTATATGAAATTAACGAATATAAATCAATGTAAAGACGAATAGTCAAAACTGGTCCAAATTTCACACTATTATTATTTTGCACATAGGTATATTGGTACTCATGTCCGAATAGCTATTTTTAAACATTTTCACTTTTTTTCAGGGGAACTGATGAAGCTAGGCTTTTCTGAAAGTGTGGATTGTATACAAAAAATTAATGATTAAAATGCTTTTTGCGGACGTGGTGTCCGAAGAATCTGAGTTTGCAATATATTTTAAGCAAAAACGGTCGTTAGGATGCGCTATAAAAACACCAAAGCACGCCCAGAACCAAAGTACACCCAGAACCAAAGTACACCAAGCAACCGCGGTGTTTTTGGTTAAATAAACGTTTTTGGTAAAAAATAATCTGAAAGGTCTTTCGATGGTATAAATATTTGCTTTTTAATCACTTTTATATATATGTCAAATGCTGCTTGGCGACTATCAACTGAGAAACCTGGCAATTACTTTACTATATTCAAGTAAGACTTTCAGTAAAACTTGGTTTCATCAATTACTCAGCCTATTTGCCAACAGTGTAATTCAATGAATTAATAATTACTATATATTTTCAGTGTACTGTAAAAATCCTACTGTTTTTTAAATATTGCTTTTAAAATTACTTAAAAGAAAGCAATTTTAATTTTGTGGTTTTTTGGTACTATATTTGCAGTCGATTAGGCACATATTGAAATTATGAATTCCATCTCTGGCTGCATGTAGCAAAACGGACGTAGCAAAAGAAGTGGAAAAACTTGATAAATGTCAATTAAGAAAACTGATGAAAATTGTGTTTACTTTGAGCCCAGGCGCTTGATAATTTGTGTGCAGTCTTTCTGCAAAAAAGTTTAATTTATTATGTCTGACGGTATGTATTCATTAAAGTACAATTATTGGTATAAAATCTGAAGTATTAAAATATTTGCAGAGGATATAATTAAACGCCGCTTATTGATTGATGGAGATGGCACTGGTGATGATCGCCGGCTTAACATGCTTCTTAAACAATTCTTGAAGTGGACTTTCTCCAAAAATGATTCACCGGAAAACAAGTACGTATTACAAGCTGGGATCCAAATACCAGTTAATTAAATTCATAAACTTTTGTTCACTTTAACAGTCAAATAATCTATGATCGCCTGCTGGCACAAATGGCACAATGTGAGTTCGCTGCTGCGAAAACCGACTACACTTCTAAGATGATACAAGAAGAGTTAAAAAACTATGCAAAGTTATCCGACTCCATTGAAAAAAGTATTGAATTAGCTAAAAACGAAATAGAAGAAAGTAAACTTGAACTCGTATTAGCAAAGCAGATACGCAAAAATAAAATGGAGTACGATATGTTGGCAAAGGTGATTAAGGAACAACCTGACCGTAAAGATACCACGAAACAGATAGATGCACTTAAAAAAGATCTTGCTGAGTTGATGGAAAAGAAAATTNATAATTAGATGTCATTGAATTTTACGGTATTGCTGATAGCGAATTTGCGAGTTGCCGTCAGCGAGTACCATCTGTCATAATCAGCTGTTAACCGGATTGTTTTGTAATTTTTTGCCGTTTTGTAATTCCAGGTGAGTAAAAATCTAATTTAAATCCTAGATATATTTGAAATTTCTTAATCCAGCCTTCTAAATTTCTTCCAGAATGGCTGCTACGAAAACATTGCGTTCATTACTGCAAGAATTGCGTTATGCTTCACCGAACGGCTGCATTAAAAATTCACTGGCCGCTCGTTATGTACTAGCGCAGTACAAGAAATATTCGACCACGGATCAGCAGTTGTGTAAAGCACGGGATGAGGCGCTATTCCTTGGACAAACTTATCTCACGTATTTGTCCAGTTTGCGAAAATTCAATGAGCTCTATAAAGAATATCATGGTCGAGGTGAACGTAGTGTCAAAGAGACTGCAGATTTGGTCGGCTTCAAACTACCATCTGATCCTAAGTAAACGAACAGAAATTCCAACATACATACATACAACGGTTAAAAGAAAATTAAAATTGATGGCTTAAAGAAGTCTAGTTTAGCTACATATGTATATAATTAATGCCAAAAGTTGCTGTAAATTTAAATGAACTCAAGAACAACAACTGATTGGTACAACCAGTACAACTTACCACATATAATACGGCTTATTTTCTCAAGAGAAATGTACCATATAAACATATCGTCGTTTAAAGTACAAAACCGTCCTTCTGCAAAACCGCGTAACTGACATTGGCTGCCAAAAATTGGATTTGCTCACACCAGCTCTTGGCTCAATCTTTATTCATTCGTTCTGAAATATACTAGCCAGAAATGCGATTGCTTTATAAAAAAGAGAAGCATTTTGAAATATGAGTGTTTTTACCCTTTAGAAAATAATTTCTACAACTTCACATACGCGGTTTTGCATTTTGCTGATCCGCGGCTTTGCATTCTGTTGATACGCGGTTTTGCTCTTTAAACGACGATATGTGTTTGATAAATGTATGCACATATTTATTTATTTGTTACAGTCCTGCGACTTAAAATTGCAGAAAAATAGTGTCAGTTCGTAAACGCAGCCCGCAGTATCACTTCAAGAACTACACTCGTTTTTGCAACTTACTTCCACTCCAGCATTTAGCCATATTTACGCATACTGGACGTATCCATCAATTATAATTTGGGAAAGTATTTTGCAGTAAAGCCGCAAAAATTCATTTAAGGAACTGACCCATATATACAATTCATAATTCAATTCAAATTACGTGGAAGACTAGCACGTTTCACTATTCACGTCGAAAAGTGCACATTTCAGAGTTTTGCGTGGAAAAGTAGCAAATTTAATTATTTGCGTGGGAGAGTAACACATTTCAGATTGTTGCGTGGAAGACACAACTTACATGTAAGTGGGTTGCGTGGTTTTGATTAGTCAAATCACAAATCGCTAAATCAAATTTATTTCTGAATTGAAAGTTACATCAAATCCCAAATAAATTTTATTTGTGATTTGTTTCGTCGATCAAATAAAGAATAAAACTTATTTATTTGTCTTGATTCGTGATTTATCAAATAAATAATACTTTTTTATCATATACGATTTTCAACTATTTTCCCACTTTGAGTTCTACGAAAAATGGTGCTTACCAAGCTTATTACTAATTACATATTAGCCGTCATCGATTCGCCAACAGTTAAGGACTGGCGAAACGAACGAACTCAATGAGGTACAACCAAACTCGCTATCGTCTATCCGTGCTAGCTAACTTTGTTGTTGCTTTCACATGCAAAATTTTTCGTTAAGCGACCGGAACTCAAACATAGCAAGCAGCGAAGTGGCGAATCGATGACGGCTATTATATTTTGAGATTTTCAGGACTACTTAGCAATTTTAGGGAACATTTCGGGGATTTTGACACTACTTGGGGATTTTTGGGATTTACCTCGCGATTTTTGGGACTATTTCGATTTTTTCGAGCCTAATTCAAGATTCTCGGGATTTTCTCATGTTGTTGTTGTTGTTGTAGCGGCTACAACAACCCCGCCCAGATCGGTTGGTATCTCAGTCGTTGTCGTCAAGTTCCACTAACGGCAACCCTAGGAAGCGTGCAGCTTCTGTGGGATCTGTCCACAGGGACAGGGCCGTTAGGGTTGTCGGGTTTTCCGGGCATGCGAAGAGATGGTTCGAGTCATGTGGGGTCTCTCCGCATGCCGGACATTCGTTCGGCACATCCTCATTCAGCCTACTCAAGTAGGAGTTTAACCTGCTGCAGTAGCCGGAGCGAAGTTGAGCAAGTGTAGTGCGTGTCTCCCGAGGCAGATGAAGCTCTGTCTCGTCAATGTCCGGGGGTGTTATGCCTAGAACGGCATTCACAGGTCTAGAGTCTACAAAACTCGAGACTGCGTCCCTGTGAATGCCGTTCAGGGCCTGTCTGTACGCTGTCGGGTCCAGAGGTTGCTTAATGAACCTCTGGACTTCGTCCGTCAGTTCATCTAGATGCCTCCTGACGTGCCTAGGCGAGGGCTCCTCTGCAAGCAGCTGTCTGTTTGGGTGGCCACTTCTGTGGCTCCCGATCAGGAACTGCTTGCAGAGCATTATGTTGTGCTCCTTAACTGGGAGCATTTGCGCCCAGGCGACATCAGGAGGCATCCCGTCGCTGTCCTAAGTGCCGTATTTTGTCCAGTCTGTAGCTTCGTCCACTGCGTCCTACTAGTCCCTGGCGACCACACTGGCGCTGCGTAGTTCAAAACCGGCCGGCCTATTGCCTTGTATGTTGCCAGCAACGTTTCTTTGTCTTTGCCCC